AAGGAACTTAAATAAATCAACCAGAAAAAAACCAAATAGCTCTATTAAAAAATGGGCAAAGGACATGAACAGACATTTCTCAAAAGATGACATACAACTGGTCAACAAACATATGAAACACATAGGAATATGAAAAAATGTTCAACATCATTAACTGATATGGTTTCGCTGTGTCCTCACCGAAATCTCGAATTCTATCTCCCAGAATTCCCACATGTTGTGGGAAAGACCCAGGGGAGGTAACTGAATCATGGGGGTCAGTCTTTCCTGTGCTATTCTCATGATAGTAAATAAGTCTCATGAGATCTGATGGGTTTATCAGGGGTTTCCACTTTTGCTTCCTCCTTTTTCTCTTGCCACCATCACGTTAAAAAGTGCCTTTCACCTCCCGCCATGATTCTGAGGCCTCCACAGCCATGTGGAATTGCAAATCCAATTAAATCTCTTTCTCTTCCCAGTCTCAGGTATGTCTTTATCAGCAGCATGAAAATTGACTAATATACTAATCATCAGATAAATGCATATTAAAAGCACAATGAGATACCATCTCACACTAGTCAAAAAGGCTATTAAAAGGTCATAAAATAATAGATGTCAGTCATATGCAAAAAAGGGAATGCTTATACATTGTTGGTGGGAATGTAAATTAGTTCAACCCCCATGGAAAACAGTATGGAGATCTCTCAAAGAACTAAAAATAGAACTACTATGCAATCCTATTACTAGCTATCTATCCAAAGGAAGAGAAATTGTTGTATCAAAAAGACAGCTGAACTTGTATGTTTATCTTAGCACGAATCACAATAACAAAGTCATAGAATCAACCTAAGTGCCCATCAACGGTTGACTGGATAAAGAAAATGTGGTACATATACACCATGGAATACCATGCAGCTTTAAAAAAAGAATGAAATAATGTCCTTGGCAGCAACATGGATGCAGCTGGAGGACATTATCCTAAGTGAATTAATGCAGAAACAAAAAATCAAATAATGCATGTTCTCACTTGTAAGTGGGAGCTAAACAGGGGGTACATATGGACATAAAGGTAGAAACAATAGACACTGGCAACTCTAAAAGTAGGGAGGAAAGGGGGGAAGGGTTAAAAAGCTACCTGTTGGGTAGTATGTTGACTATTTGGTTGATGGGTTCAACAGATGCCCAAACCCCAGCATTACACAATATGCCCATGTAACAAAGGTGCATGTATCCCCTGAATCTATTATTTAAAAATTTTCTTCCTTTCTATTGCTGAGTAATATCCCATGATGTGATTTACCATAGTTTAACCATTTGCCTACTGAAGGACATCTGAGTTGTTTCTAGATTTTGCCTATTGAAAGAAAAGCTGCTATTGAACATTGTGTACACTGGTTTTTGTATAAACATAAATTTTCATTTCTTCAGGATAAATTCCCACCCAAAAGTGTAAACATGCATCATATGGTGGGTGCATGTAGTTTCTAAGAAATCGCCATACTTTTTTCCAGAGTGGCAATGTCATTTCACATTCCACAAGCAATGTAAGAGTGATTTGGTTTCTCTGCACTGTGACCAATTTGGTGTTGTCATTATTGTAGGTATTTAGTGATATCTTACTGTGTTGTATCAATGACTTAAAAAATTTTTAGGTACAATGGCTAAAAGTATCAATGACTTAAAAATTTTTTTAGTTGACAATTGTATGTATTTATGGGGTACAATGTGGAATTTTGATATATATTTATATTGTTGAGTGCCAAGCTAATTAACATATATATCGCATACTTAAATTTTTGTGGTGAGAACATTTAAAACCTACTCTTTTAGCAATTTTGAAATATACATTATTATTAACTACAGTCTTATGGTGTACAACAGAGCCCTAAAACTTATTCCTCCTGTCTAAATGAAACTTTGTACCCTTTGAGCAACATCTCCCCATTCCTCATCTCCCGACCCTCCATCCACCCCAGAAACCACCAGTCTACTTTGCTTCTATGAGATCAACATTTTAAAATTCCATATATAAGTGGGATGTACAAAAGTCAGTAGCAGTATTTGTCTTTCTGCACCTGGCTTACTTCACTTAGTTGGTTATTCCACGTCACAAATGACAGAATTTCTGTCTTCTATAATGCTGAATAATATTCCACTGAATACATACATTTTCTTTATCTATTCATCTGCTCGTGGACACTTAGGTTGCTTCCATATCCTAGCTATTGTGAATAATGCTGCAATAAACAAGACTGCAGATTGTGCAGATCTCTCTTCATCATGCTGATTTCAACTCCTTTGGAAATATAACCCAGTAGTGGGACTGCTGAATACTGTGGGAGTTCTATTTTTAGTTTTTTTTTTTGAGACGGGGTCTTGCTCTGTCACCAGGCTGGAGTGCAATGGCACGATCTCGGCTCACTGCAACCTCCACCGCCTGGGTTCAAGCGATTCTCCTGCCTCAGCCTCTCTAGTAGCTAGGATTACAGGAATGCACCACCACACCAAGCAATTTACAGATTCAATGCTATTCCTATCAAATTACCAATGTCATTCTTCACAGAACTAGAAAAAACCGTTTAAAAATTCATATGTAACCAAAAAAGAGCCCGAATGGCCAAGGCAATCCTAAGCAAAAAGAATGAAGCTAGAGGTATCATTTTACCCAACTTCGAACTATAGAACTGGGCTAAAGTAACCAAAACAGCATGGTACTAAGGCCAATGGAACAGAATAGAGAGCCCAGAAATAAAACTGCATACCTACAGTCATTTAATCTTTGACAAAGCTGACAAAAACAAGTAATGAGGAAAGGACTCCTTATTCAATAAATAGTGGTGGGCTAGCCATATACGGAAGATTAAAGTTGGACTCCTTCCTTACACTATATATAAAAATCAACTCAAGATGGATTAAAGAGTTAAATGTAAAACCCAAAACTAAAAAAACCATGGAAGACAACCCAGGCAATATCATCCTTGACATAGGAATGGGCAAAGATTTCATGAAAAAGACACCAAAAGCAACTGCAACAAAAGCAAAAATTGACAAATAGGATCTAAACTTAAGAGCTCTGCAAAGTAAAAGAAACTATTAACAGAGTAAACAGACAACCTACAGAATGGGAGAAAATATTTGCAAACTGACAATGGTCTACTATCTAGCATCTACAGGAACTTAAAAAAAATTTGCAACAGAAAAACAACCCCACTAGTGGGCAAAGGACGTGAACAGACACTTTTTTAAAAAAGACATACACATGGCCAACAACCATATGAAAAAGGCTCAGTATCACTGATCATCAGAAAAATGCAAATCAAAACCACAATGTGATACTGTCTCATAGTCAGAATGGCTACTATTAAAAAGTCAAAAAATAATAGATGGCGAGGTTGTGGAGAAAAGGGAACCCTTATATACTGTTGGTGGGAGTGTAAATTAGTTGGACCATTGTGGAAAGCAGTATAGCGATTCCTCAAAGAGCTAAAAACAGAAGTATCATTACTGGGTATATACCCAGAGTAACATAAATCATTCTACTATAAAGACACATGTATGCGAATGTTCATTGTAGCGCTACTCACAATAGCAAAAACCTGGAATCAACTTAAGTGCCCACAAATGGCAGATTGGATAAAGAAAATGTGGTACATATATAACATGCAATACTATGCAGCCATAAAAAAAAAATCGTATCTTTTGTGGGAACATGAACAGAGCTGGAGGCTATTATCCTTAGCAAACTAATGCAGGAACAGAAAACCAAATACTGCATGTTCTCACTTATAAGTGGGAGCTAAATGATGAGAACTTATGAATACAAAGAAGGAAAAAACAGATATTGGGATCTACTTTAGGGTGGGGGGTGGGAGGATGGAGAGATGCAAGAAAAATAACTATTGGGTGCCAGGCTTAATACTTGAGTGATGAAATTATCTGTACAAAAAACCCCTGTGACACGAGTTTACCTATAAAGCAAACCTTGACATGTACCCCCAAACCTAAAATAAAAGTAAAAAAACCTCATGTAGCTACATAAGATCCAAATCTTAAACCTTCCAATTCTAAGTCTAGGGAATTTTCTTGGTTACCTTTCTACCTGCGTCCCCTCACCCCGCCCCACCACCCTGGCCAAAGCGCAAAGCATTCAATGAACAACTTAATAAAACAGAACTGTGAAAAAAGGGAATACAGAGCATAAAAGGAAATTTAATGAAGCAGCAACAAAGAAATGTTCTACAAAGAGTTGCTTTTAAAAAACCTTCTAAGATAGCTTAGTTGGCTGAGGCAGGAGTGGGAGGTGAGGAATGACAGTGAGAAAAAGACAAAAGATGAGGGGGAAGGGAGATTTTGTAAGAGTGAGGGGAAGATCTCGGGAGTAATGTAGATAGTATAGTGTATTGGATACAACCAAACAAATAGAAATCAGAATAAATGACATGTAGTTTATATGAGTAGGAAAGTTTGAAATTGAGATTTTGTAACCAAGGGAGTAATTACTTTGAAAACCAAAAATTATCCTTGCAATAAAAAGAATTCTCTAGTTTAAATTTATCATTTTCCAGTTTTGCTCAATTTGGACTTCCTATATGCTTTAATCTCACCTAAATATATCTTTATTCTCAAAGAAGAAATAATTTACTTCTTCAGGATATAAATTACCTCAGTAATAGGAACTACGTACTTGTTGATTTCTTTCTGTGCTTAAAATAAGCAGACAAAATGCTGTGTTTCCCCAGTGCAAAACAGTGATAAGATGAAATTACATTAAGTGTAATATTTATTCAAAAAATACTGTCTTGAGACAAAAGATCCCTTACGATTTTTGTAACAATACACACTTATTATTTTTTCCCACTACTTGAGCACCTTCCCCCCAAATAAAACATCACAGTTAAGACAAATCTAACCATTTTAAAGAAAATTGTAGAGATAGTGAAATATATTTACATTGGATAGGAAATTTATATTGGATGGAAAATTTCTATATTGCAAGGAAAAAGTAAAAAAAATATAATTACCTGTTTTTCTTTATTAACTCCAGACATGAACAGCTGCTTGTATTTGTCCTTAAATGCAAAGTTTAGAGCTTGTGTTGGAAAATACCGAATAACATTTGCCAAATTGCCACGCCAAAAACTGAAGAAACCTATAGAAGGAAACATACAAATACATAAACCTACATTGTATTATCATTGAACAATTGCCATAGTTTTAACAAATTTAGCGATATGAACTATCTAAAACATACTCTTTCTTATGAGAAAAAGTTTTCTAAAATGTGTGTCTCCATTGAAAAATAAAAAGGTAGTGTTAACTCTATTGCACCCCATTCCATTTTTAAAAAAATTTCAAATAAAGAGCTTTGAATACCTAAAAACTAATGGAAAGTGGTATCAGTTGAATATAGGGCTCTTTACTAGCAGAAAAACAGAGCTCAGTAGTATTTGTCAAAGGCTAGTAACCCTTAGGCTCACTCCCAATTCCTGATGTACAACACCTATGGTGGTAAGGCTGTTATACAAATGAGTATGACAGAATAAATCCACTTACTGATTTGTACATATACTTATGAGAATGAGAACAGGATAAATAATCTAAAGTGCCCTTATCTTTATGATCTGGAACCATTTTTGAATGGGTGTTAAAACTTATCCAGAAAAGGGATCCATTTCAATTCTAGGCAGTTTCTAGACAACTGAGGAAGAGATTGGAAGAAATCTTTGAGGCCTACAATCTCTCTACCTGAATTCTCCAGGGACTGACCAACCTTGGGGAATATAATTCATTGTGTACCCCTTAAAATTCAGGACTATCCTTATGATATAGAGCTGCCCTAGAGCATGGCAGGCTAGCTCTTCAATAGCCTTGGTTGTTTTCACTAGATTACAAATCGTAAAATGCTTTGGCCTTGCTGTTCTGAACAGGATACCTCTAGCACCAGTTTGGAGAATACCCAGAATCAGTCTTTTAAAAATAAAGATTCAAAAGAAAATAATCTCAGTTAACTGGGGTAGTGCTCAGAATTGAACAAAGTTAGATTAGGTAAGTACATAGAGGGAAAGATACTTATTTGTTAAATAAGTAACATTAACCCTGTGGGAAAAAGTAAAGAATCTTGGTGAACCCAAGGCTGAATATAAAGTGACTGCACAAAAACAATTCAGAAGCATATTTAATGGCAAAGAAATAATCTGACTCCAACAGCTGACTCCATCTTTATTCGGGTATCCAACATGTGATGGTAACAACTACTACTTACTGAGCATTCACTATACGAACCAGTCACTGGCAAAGAATTTACATGTATATCATTTAATCAATTATGCTTATTATGTAGGTTCTCTAACAGCACCCATTTTAAGTATATACAAAGTGAAACTTTAAAAAGTTTAAAAACTAGGCTAGGTACAGTGGCTCACGCCTATAATTCCAGCACTTTGGGAGGTCAAAATGGGAGGACTGCTTCAGTTCAAGAATTCAAGACCAGCCTGGGCAACACTGTAAGACCGCATCTCTACAAAAAATTAAAAAAATAAATTAGCCATGTGCAGTGGCACATGCCTGTAGTTCCAACTACTTAGGAGGCTGAAGTAAGAGGATTTCTTGAGCTGAGGATGTAGAGGCCGCAGTGAGCTATGATCACACAACCACATTCCAGCATGGGTGACAGAATGAGAACCTGTCTTTAAAACAAAAAAAAAAAAAAAAAAAAAAGAAAAGAAAAAAGAAAAACTGTCTGAGGATTACTAGCCAACCAAGATTTAAAATCAGGCTTTCTGTCTGACTCCAAAACTCTACTCTAGGCCTGGATTTCTGGAGAAACAAATCACAGAAAAGTTCTAAAATTATTATAATAGATGCTTTATTAAAAAAGAAACTGCTCTAACAATTTTTGAACAGGAAGATAATTAAAAAGTTCACAAATACGTGGAAATTAAACAACATGCTCTTAACAACCAATGGGTCAAAGAAGAAATGAACAGGAAAATTAAATCTTGGGATAAAACTGAAACACAACATACCAACACTTATAGATGCATCAAAAGCAGTTAAGAGAGAAGTTTATAGCAATAAATGCATGTGTTATAAAGAAGAAAGATCTCAAATAACCTAATATTATACCACAAGGAGCTAGAAAAAGAACAAACTAAGTCCAAAGTTAGAAGAAGGAGGGAAATAATAAAAATTAGTGTTACCGAAATGCCAAGGGTTTAGTCTAGGTCCTGCTGCTCATTGCACAGAAAGTCAATCATAGAGACGATGCGTATTACCAGGGAAGAAGGCTTTTTTGGGTGCTGTGTCTGAGGAGAACAGATCAATCTCAAATCCGTCTCTTTCACACACTAAAATTAGGAGTTTATATAGCAGAAAATAAATGCAACTATGTGTGGGAAAGCAAGAATTAGGGAGGAATAAGAAGAATGACTTGGTCAACAAGTAATCAATCAGGCAATCATGACAGGTGAGGGGTCAGTGTCTCAATGTACAGATGTGGTGATCTGGTAAGTTTCTGTTCCTTGATACTATCTGGGAGGCCCAAAGGTTGTTTTCCTGAGAAAGGAACTCAGATATGACAAATACGAGTTTCTCAAGTTTTAAGACTGAGAAGGTCAATTTCTTGGTTTATTAATGATAAACACTAAACATCAGTTCCATGGGCCAATTGAGCTGGTTTCAATGGCAGAAATAAATGAAATAGAGACTATAAAAAGTAATAGAGAAATATCAATCAAATTAAGAGTTTATTTTTTTCAGATCCAGTGCTGGTTGGTATTTTATTAGAAGAAGATAAACAAAATTGACAAACCTCTAGCTAGACTTAAGAAAAAAAGAGAGGAGACTCATGTAAGTAAAATTATAAGTGAAAGAAGATACCTTACCACTAATACTACAGTAATACAAAGGGTCATAAGAGATTACTATGAACAATTATATACCAAGAAATTAAATAATATAGATGAAACTGATAAATTTATAGAAACATAATCTACCAAGTCTGAATCATGAATAAATATTTGAACAAACAATGACTGAATCAGTAATCACAAACTTAACAATAAAGAAAAGCCCAGGATCTGATGATTTCACAGCTGAATTCTGCTAAATTCCTTTTACAAGGCCAACATTACCCTGGTACCAAAGCCAACCAAAATACTACAAGAAAAGAAAATTGCAGGCCAATATTCCAATGAACAAACATGCAGAAATCCTCAACAAAATACTACCAAATTGAATTCAATATAGTGATAAAAGGCTCATTCACCACAACCAAGTGGGATTTATCCTTGGGATGCAAGGATGGCTCAACATGCACAAATTGGTAAATGTGATATACTACATTAACAGAATGAAGGACAAAAACCATATGAGCATCTCAAAAAATGCTGAAGAAGCATTTGACAGAATTTATCTTTACCTAATAAAAACTTTCAACAACTTAGGTATGGAAGCAACGTACTGTAACACAGTAAATGTCATATATGACAAGCTCACAGATAACATCATACTCTGTGGAGAAAAGCTGAAAACTTTCTTCTGAGATCAGGAATAAGACAAAGGGATCCACTTTTGCACTTTGATTCAATATAGTACCTTAAGTTCTAGCCAGAGTAATTAGAAAAAAAAAAAAAAAAAAAAGAAAAGTATCCAAATTGAAAAGAAGTTAAACTGTCTCTGTTTGCAGATGACATGATCTTACATACAGAAAACTCTAAATATGCCAACAAACTATTAGACTAATAATTCAATGAAGTTTCAGGGTATAAAATCAACACAGAAAAATCAATCACGTTTCTACATACTAACAATGAACTACCTGAAAAAGTAATAAAACAGTATCATTCACAATAGCATAAACAAAACATTAGGAATAAATTTAACCAAAGAGGTGATAGATCTGTACGCCAAAAAGTTTTAAAAAATTGATGAAAGAAACCAAAGAGATCTCCAGGCATTTGGAGCACCCACTCACCTAGATGAGCAGCCTGAGCCACCCTACCCTTTCTGTGCAGAGATTGTGGTGCCGTGGGACCCTCTCTGCTCCATACACAGTCAGATCTCCAGGCATTCAAAGAACCTGCTCACCTGCATTGGCAGCCTGAGTCACCCCACCCTTCCTTTGCAGAGATCTGTGTGGATGGGGCTTTCTCAGCTTCACACTCAGGCAGGCAGAGCACCTACTTGCCATGATCAGCAGTCTGAGCTGCCCCATCTTTCCTGAGCAGACATTGTGGTGAAGTGGGGCTGTCTCTGCTCCACAACCAGGCAGATTTCCAGGCATTCTGACCATCTGCTCACCTGAATCATCAGCCTGGCCCATCCTTTCTCCCAGTAAATAAGGGTTAAGTATATATGTAGCTGTGTTTGCCTCAGTTGACTTAGCTGTACATGCCATCTGCTGGCCTGTAGGTGGGATCCCATAGCCCATAGAAGAAGAAAAAATCCTACCTGCATTAAAATGACTACAAAAATTGGAAGCACTAGTGTCCCCAGATGAGAAGGAACAGGGCAAGAAATCGGGCACCACAAAAAATGTGAATGTAACACCACCAAAGGATCACACTAGCTGTCAAGCAATGGTTCCTAGCCAAAATGGAAACTCAGAAATGACTAAGAATTCAAAGCATGAATTGCAAGGAAGCTCAACAAGATCCAAAAGATGGTTGAAAATAGACACAAACTTCTAAAGTAATCTGGGAAATGAAAGAAGAGATAAACATCTTCAAAAGAAATCAATCAGATCTTATGGAATTGAAAAGCTTACTTAAGAAATTTCAAAATACAATTAAAAAATTATCAATTGACTGGACCAAGCAGAAGAAAGAAATGCAGAGCTTGAAGACTGGTCTTTTTAACTAACCCAGTTAGACAAAAATACAGAAAAAAAGAATTTTAATAAATGAACAAAGTCTTTGAGAAATATAAGATTATGTAAAGCAGCCAAACCTACAAGATACTGGCATTCCTGAGAGAGAAAAAGAAAAAGCAAACAATCCAAAAAACATATTTGATGAAATACTTCAAGAAAATTTCCCTAATCTTTGTCCAGATATGAGAAATCCAGAGAACACCTGTGAGATACTGGACAAAATGAACATCACCAAGGCATATAGTCACCAGAATGTCCAAGGTCAACACTAAAGAAAA